ACCCCTGTATCCCCCCCTTGCGCGGTCTTTTTTACCATTCCACTAATCCCTTCCCACATCTGCTTGACGTTTCCCTCCAGGCCTCCGTTGGCCTTCTGCACTACTTCGTCCCAAATACACTTTTTCTTCTTTCTCACTAGTCCCTTCACCTGTTTTCTCTTGGCCCTGTACTTTTCGGAGGAAGGGGGGGGGGGAATATCGTGTGGCACTTGAAAGCGAAAGAAAGCACGTTGAATCTATGTACCGCATGCTAGATACATCCCTAGCGAGCGATCCGCCGTTGACAACGAAAAACACACAGCGGCGCTGAAGCGAAGGACGAAACGCCCGCTCACCTGGTTGCGGCGCTGGCCTGTTCCGCCGGGGTGACCCCCCCGTCCGGGTGCTCGAACAGCCACGACAACAGCGCGTTCAGGTCGAAGCCCACGCACGACGTGCCCCTGTGGACGTGCTCCTCCTGGAAACCCATTGCTATCAACTGAGGGGACAAAGGGTTGCGGGAGAGGAAGGGAAGGGGGGGCGGTGGGGGTCTGGGGGTCCCGCGGAGGTGGAGGGGCGATGTGCGCCAGACACAGAAAAGGGCATAATTGGCATGAAATAATTCGAGAGGGTCCAACGGTGCCTCGAAAGGTGCAAACAGCAGTACAGTGTTTCGACCTGGGTAACTATTCGTGCGTATCGAAGAAGGCACCAAGGCGGCGTCGTGAACAAAGGCCAGTCGCACTCTGAACGCCACGGAAGGGCTTCTCTGGTACACAATAACTCTATCATGTAGGCCGTAGAGTCTAGGGCAGAATGGTGGAACTCTTGACGACGAATTTTCCTCCACGCGTTTCGGCAAACACCAAGCAGATGATGCAAACACGAAACAGATTATACAACCCCACAAACGCATTTGAACTAGGGCCCCAAGCACATTAAGGGCAAATAACCCTGGACGCGCCAGGTAACACTCTACCTGGGCGAGGAGATCATCTCTCGACATTGAAGACTCGTGCGCGCTTTCCGAAACCGCGGGCGCGGCGGGAGAAGCGTTCCCGGCGCTAGCCGCTGCCGCACGCGGACGCGATGTCGCCGCCGCCGCCGCCGCCGCCACCGGCGCGCCATCCTCTGCACCCTTCCCCGTAGGAGCGCCTTCCGCGCCTCCATTGGCAGCCAAGCCTCTGTCGGCGACGCTGCCCTCGTCGCCTGCTGCTGCGCGTGTGTTGAGTATGTCGTTGTGTCAGTTGTTGTTGGTGCATCTATGAAAGTTGCCGTTATATTTGTTGCCGGTTGCTGCTACCACAAGCAACAAAACAATCGCTGTGGAGGTTGTTGTGATCGTGTGGTGGTATGTGCGGTCCCTAGTGAAAATGCGGAGCGGACTACAGATCAAGAGCCAAACGGAACAGAAAGCGACAAGCGCCAACAACAATCCGCCAGTCCTTCCGCCAATCGGTCGCGACCCATCGGTTCCCACACAGGTACACATCCATCACACGCCTGGCCTCGACTTCATCGACCGTCTGTGCTCAATCGTGCAGACCCCTTCCCACTATGGCGCCAGCTTAACATGAACTCAAAACGCTACCCCCCTAGCAAAACCCCGGTGCTTCGACCGGGCGAAGTGAAGCGAGGAGAAACCGCAAAACTCTCCCAGCCATTATTCATACAAGGCGCTACAACAGGGGGCCGCGCGGAGATCGCGTGGACACGTCTCCGCCGCCCCCGCCCTCCCAAATCAAACCCGGCCAAACCTGTCTTGTTGTTACTGTTCTTCTTCTTCTTGGCCTTCTTGGCCTTCTTGCTCTTGCCCTCTTCTGCCTTTCCCTGCTCCTCCTTGCGGCCCCTCCTCTCCTCCTCCTGCCTCTCCTCGCGCTCCAGCCTCTCCTGTTTACGCGTCGGGGTCATGGTGAACACGGAAGTTACCACCGACAAACAGCAATCCGAGCATGACCATAGCAGCAACAATCCGAACACGACAACAATAGCAGAAACACCAACAATGACGACGACAGCAGCAGCAGCAGCAGCAGCAGAAAACAAGCCACGCTCAAGCCACACGGTCAGTCAAAATTATCACAACTGTGAACACAACTCAAGCCAAGAAAACCTCCCCGCACAGGCCCCGGATAATCAGGCCAGCCCCCTGGTCCATTAAAGCGGCCATCGGTACTTGCAAGGTGGGGCAAAGGGTGCTGTTGCCTGCAAGGGGCACCAGGCACCCAACATCGGCCTAGTTAGCCACATGCCAGGAACTAACGACCTGCACACGGCAGTGATCAAAGCACTCCGCGTATCCGCACAAGAACGTGATTGCTGCTTCACCCCTTGCCCGATCGTTCCGACAGGCCCCCGCCAACAAAAAACTTTCGTGTTGATGGGCATCTGTCCAACTCCACTACTCCCGGAGCCGGCCGGCCCTGTTCCTCAGCTCTTGACAAAATCGGGTATGGGGGAGCGACCGCACCTCTGCTGTGCGAGGCCGACCGACAGCGCTTGCAGCCGGCTTCTTTTCGACCACCGCCGGCGAAACAAACCTACTACTACCGGCCGGCAGCACTTTTACCGAAAACGCTGCGCTTCGCCATGAAAACGAGGCAGCAGCTTGACCCTGAGAAATCCCTTCACGGAGGACAACGGCGGCCGGCGATTCGGAACAACACCACACCAACAACACGGCCATGGCCGCGGCAGCACACAGCGACTCACGGCAACGACGCCCTACACACCGCATCGTCGCACACACTACCCCGCATCGCCCAAACAACAATCAATACTAGCAAACACCCCGCTACATCGCAGTTTGGGACCCGAGCGTTTGCCGCACCTGCTTATCCTTGAGTTGGCGCTGCTTCCGGGAGAGCAGCTCTCTCTCCCTGGCCTCCTTTTTCTTCTCCTTCTGCACTTCAGACCTTTTCTTCGCCAGCTGTTCGTTTCATTTTCAATCCGAGGCGTCCATCCGGTCGCGTCCCCACCGACGAACCCGATCGACACAGACAAGACGGCCATCGAGTTCCGTTGTTGTCAGAGGATGCATGCCGTTGGGTTTCTTGGCAGAAAATGTGTACGTGAATGAGTGCTGACGCTACGTTCGCCTGCAAAGAGAAGTACTTCTCAAGAAGCCAAAAACGGCCGAAATCGCCTCGCCTCAACAGAACGGGGAGAAACAACAACGAGAACAAGCAACGTTTCTTACGAAGCAAGCCTCGCCCCGCACGCACGCACACATGCAACAACACACCCCTTATAAATTCCTTGCTCAATCCATCACGGACTTACATGTTGGAATAGATGCGTTTGTTGTGTTTACGGCGAGAAAAACATCCCCTTCGACTGCTGTGGTACTACCTCGAACGGACAGTCTTTGATTGCATGTGCATTTTCTAGAAAACAAAATATATATATATATTTAGCAAAAAACGCACCACATCAACTCTTCGTCCACCAGCCAACCCAGCAAGACAAAAACACCTCTCTCACCTTCGCCTCTCGTTCCTTCCGCTCTCGCTGCTCCTTCGCCCGCTCCACCGCCTGCGTGGCAGCGCTCAGCTGCCTCGCGACCTCCTGCAGCCCCTTCTTGCGAGGCCCCGCTCCCTCCTTCGATAGCAGGGCCCTCGCCAGCTGCAGCGCGGTGCCGCCATCCCCTCCGCCCGCCCCGCCACCTCCGCCCGCGCCGTTGGAAGAGCTGGGTTCGATGCCGTCGAGAACGGCGCCGCGGACGCTGACGCTCGCGCCCGCGGCGAGGAGCGTGGACACACACACCGGGCTACCTTCTGCCGCGGCGTAGTGCAGCGGCGTCCAGCCCTTCAGGAGGCACCTCTCATCTAACAGAATCTGATCGCGTCGCTCTGTGGGGGGAAAAGTGTTCCGATGATGGGCGAGAGAGAGCGAGACATAGAGAAGCACACGTACACACATACAAAAAAAAAACACTTCGAATAAGTAGACGCTTCGAGTGCCGCAAAAGGAAAAATGCGGACCAGTCAACTGCTCCCGCGGAGACTCACCCTCTCGCGCTACATATGTAGAGGCATGCATCGCACGGAGGGTTTTTAGTGTCACCTCGGACCAGGGGGGTCTGCAGCTGAGATAGGCAAGACGACCGTTGGCTAGGAACGAATTCACACAACAGCTATCCTGGAAGTCTTCATGTTCTGAACTTTGCACCTAATGACCACTTATGACGATGTATGCAACACCGCAGCAACGTTCCAAGCCAACCAAAACAAATCGCTGCCGGTGATAGCCTCAAAAAGGCTGTCGTGGAGTGGATGCCCGCAGCAAAAGACTGACCCTCCCCGGGCGCGCTGCAGCGGCAGCGGTACGTCACACTCGTCAAGAGCTCATGCGCGCATTAGGGACAAATCAACGCAATTCCATACTACCTTGCCTCTCTCAAAGACCTCATGGGTGTAATCGGGGGGGGGGGGGGGGGGGAAAAA